AATAAATATTATAATGATATTTTATATAATTGTCTATTAGATTAACAAAAATTAAACATAATGATGATGAGTATATTAAAAATATTACAAAACAGTTATTGAGATAAAAATAACAAAAAAGTAGGTACAATTTCTTTGATAAATGTATTACAATAATTTATTTCAGTTTAAAGATACATGTATATATAAAAAAAAAAACTCAATGTCTAATGTAGATCTTGGAGATGGATTTAACTTTATCACCTTGTTGTGATATTGATTGAATTGCTCTTTTTGAATCTCCATCGATAAATATGAATTTTTTTGTTATAAGCATCAAAACATTTATCATACATAATAATTTTGAAAAATAATTTTATTTACAACAAAATAAGAAAAATATAAGATACATACCATATCTAGACTTTAAATATAGAAGCAAACTCTTATAATGATGTCTCAATTGATTTTTCAACCAATGCAACAACATAAGAAAGAAAAAGAAAGAAAGAAGAAAAATATTTATGATTTGAGATATGGTAGATGGGGATGAGAGAATGATTATTTATAGGATTAGAGATGATGAAAGTTACATTTAAAATTACAATTAATAGTGTTGTTGAATGACATTGAGTGTAGAAACATATTTAATACATAATTTAAATCATTTCAGTTAAAATTTAGTATTTAAAAGTATATGATTAAATATATTATATTTATAATATAATTGGATGTGAATATTATTATTTTTAATTTTACTTTTTAAAAAAGAAATGTCAAGTGGACCAATAAGGGGAGAGTGAAACCTTACTTTTATATGTATGATTATCGAATTAATTTTAAATCGAGAAAGTGAGTAAATTACATAAAACCCATACGAAAATAAGTAAATTACGACCCAACCAAACAATCCGAACCCAGCCCATAAGAAAATAACCCGGCCCATACAAAATCCCCAAATTTACCCTAATTATGAAATTCTATATATACATTTTTGGAGTACATTTAGCAAATAAATCCTGGAGTTGTCTATTATTTACATAGGAATGCCATTGGCGGGTCGGGTCGGTTTTATGATTTTGCACCGGAAATATTGCAGTCGGATTTTTCCTTAATTACAATTATCATAAATCACATTAATTTTTGACTAATCTTACGGATTTTATGGTGTATCTAAAACTAAATGCTAAAAGATCCGATTTTGGTAATTAAATTTTCGTTTGATAGTTTAATATTGTTAAAAAAATTAAAAGTAAATGCTAACTAATAAATCCGTGAAATACTGTTATATTTTTTAAAAATTTTGTTTTGTTACATAAATTATGTAATTTTGTTAGTACAAACAATATTTAAATTATGTAATTTTGTTACAAACATTTTTTTTTTGTTTTAGTGGTTACATACATGGTTTAATCTATCAAAACATGTATTATAACTTAAAAGTTATGAAGATTTTTAATTATTTGTTTGTATCGTTTTTGATTTTGATACATAAATACTATTACTTTCTTATAAAAAAATTTAAATTAAATGATTATACAAACTCAAATCTTGATACAGTATATAATAATCGAGTAAAATCTTCTTTTAGTTGTTTAATGAGATCAATGATATATATGGAAAATGTACTCAAAACAGGAAAATCTTATATTATATATTAAGATTTTTAGAAATTATCTCAAGATTTGCATGTATCTCATAAATCTTTTTTTTTTTAACTGAATGGCTTAACTTAAAAATCAACTAGAGATAATATCTCATTCCACTCCCTATATATAGAGATCTATTGGTGTGAGCAATAATCACAAATATATAATTTCTCTTTTTCCAAAGCAAGTAACTATTTCAAAATTTTGGGAATATCTTAGCTCACGTCATGATGCTAGAGTTTAATTTTGTTTTTGGGCAAAGATGCTAGAGTTTAAATAGAACCTCATCTTCTTCATAGAGTTTAAATAGAACCTCATCGAACCCGATCGGGTCTTGAAGCATCGGAAAACGCTGCCTTCCTTCTCCATAGCTGCAAAGGAAGAAAAGTTGTAAAAAATCAGAATCTGAATAGAGACAAAAACTTTTAAGACTGTGTGAATCACCAAACCTGAAAGCGATTTGACTTGAGGGACAAGAGCAGGCTTTAACCTCGAGGAAGCATCTCGGGATTCAGAATCTCCCTTTTTGGGAGATGCGCTCCGGGCAGTCTTTTCACTGTCAGGATGGGAAGAGGAAGACATATCAACCGGTCGTGGAGGACCCATTGGTTCAATAGGGGGAGATGATCGAGGTGAACGGTCAGTCCGGGCCCTTGACTTTTCCCTTCGCGGAGAAGAATCACTGCGAGAGGACTTGTCTCTCTTCCGGCGAACCAAGTTCTTAATTGGTTCGTTGCTAAAATCATCTCGGGGAGGATGAGGTGAATCACGGCGAGGAGATCGGTCCCTCCGAGGAGAACGTGAATCATGACGATTGCGACGAGGAGTTAACCTGAAAGAAGCAACGGATCTGGCTCCTTCGGTGCTGCCATCATCAACCAGCAAGGTCCTACTGTAGTCCTTCTTGTCTATGGAAGTCGCGAGAAACTTTTTCTTCTCCTCGCAAGCCTCAGCCATTGGCTTGGAAAGCATCTTACGCTTGGCCGCAAGGGCCCGAGATGACATCCCCTAAGTTGAGGAAGGAGGCGGAAGTTGGTGAAGATGACCTGGTGGAGTCATCCTGAGTCTGTGGTTAGCTTCTAGGAATCGTTCAAGAGTGAAAGAATTCCAAAGGATTTCCCCTTCAAGAATTATTTTGAAGAATTCGATGAACTCTTCAGATGGGAGAGTGGAAGCGACGAAAGCTGCGAAATGAAACAACGGTGTTAGTCAATAAAGATAAAGAAACAACCGGGAAAGATACGGGCGACCTAATCTCTACCAGGTTTCGCGGACAACTTCGAAGGGAGAAAATCTGCAAGATTTCCAATCGAAGCGGGAGTTTTCTTAATCAGAAACCAAGGATGATGCCAATTTTCATCCTTGTTCGGAAGATGCGAAATGATGTTCCTGTTAGCGTTAGGATATGCTGAGAAATACCCCGTTTTCTTCGATGAACTTCTCACACTTAGAAGCTCATTTAGTTCAGTGACTCCGATAACGTATCCGGCCTCCGTCGCGATTGTTATAATTCCAAGAACAGTACGAAGAAGATTGGGGGTTAATTGAGGAAGAGCGATTTCAAGAGCTGCTAGGTATCGAACTAGGGCTTCGGGAAGAGGAAAAGTCAGCCCGCAACCTTTAAAATAGATCTCATATACACAGAAATAGCCGTCGCGATGGTTTTCTGGGGACTCCGTAGGATCAGCTATTTGCGCCTCCGCCATAATTCCCGGTGGGATTCGGCAGAGCTCCTTCAATCGTTCGAGGGACTGAAGGGTGCAGGTGGATCTATAGTGCGGACCGGCAATATCATTAGAGCGGGTGCACTCGTCATTGCTAGAACGCCTCTCATCAAAAGACGGAGATTCGGGTCTATCGGAATCGGAAGTCATTGGGAAGAATGAAAAATTCAAGTTTCGGGAAAAAGAAGAATTTGGAGAGAGAAGTAGAAGGAGTTTTTAACCACAAAGATCAAGTGTAAAAGTAATAATGAAAAAGAAGGTTACCTCACGCAAGCTAGGTGATAATGATGGAACCGTCTTGGAAATCGTGGAAGAAGTGGGAAGGTTTTTCCCGCTTTAATAGTAAATAAACGATATGCGGTCATAATGGCGACAGATGTCACGCGACTAAATATGGGTAGCACCGAAATTAAAGGACTGATGGGATCTTGGCGGGAAAATCAGAAGATTCCTCGGAACGCAATCTTTGGTCATTAAAGCATTTAAAGTCCTCCGAATTGGAATAGCACTTCGAAGAACTTGGGGGGATAATTGTTGGTGTCAGATCCCGCACCAGAAGTCCGAGACCAACCAAAGATTGCCACGTAGTCAAGATAAAGACCCATAAAGGATAAAGCCCGTCGGATCCGTGAGCCAAGGGAACAGTCGAAGTGAGCATCGCCACAAGGAGGATCCGAAGTGACTGCATTTCGGCATGAGTTGTGGCATCGAAATCACGGTTGAATCGGTTTAAAGACATTTGGGCCAAAAGGCGGGGCCCATGAAGATCAGAGTCAATTCAAATTCAAACGTTGAGGCATTAAAACCGAAGATCAAAACGGACATATTTAAGAGAGAATAATTATACTTAATTATTCATTTTAATGACGGTTTCCTATGTATAAATACAAAGGCCAATGGCCATGTAAGGGGGGGCTTCCTCTCAAGAAAAAAAGACTATACCAATTTCCGTAGCAATTTACAAGCTTTTACATATTCATTTTTGTCCTTCAAGAGTAGTCTTTCCTACTTAATAAAAATACTTGAGTGTGTGAATCCGACATCCACAGTCACCTTTCATTTTTTTATTGTTACTTGAACGACACCAACTGAACCGAAAATAGAACCATAGACTCCGCCAGAATCGAAAACCGCTCCACCTTGGCTTTACCCTTCACGGAATTAAAAACCCACTTCGTTTTAACTTTGTTATGTCAAGTTTATGTGATGAACTCTTGGCCGGAATTTCACCGGAAATGGTTGACGAAGAAGAGAGAGGGAGAGCGAGGAAGATGAGAGATTAAAAAAAAAACAAATAAATAAAGAAGGATAGTAGAGTAATCTTCTTAGATTTACTACTGTAGAAATAGTACCTATTTTACTCACCTAATTATACATTCGTCTGAGCATAGTTTGTGATATTTCCCAAAATAGAATAATATTATTGGAAGACAAATTTGAGTTGTATTATTCGATATGTTTTGATTGGGTATCGATTTTACTGAGGTATCACCTCCAGAACACTCCAAAAAGCTGAGGTGTCAACACTGTAGAGACTTTTGTTGTTTTTATTGTATTGATCGAAAAATATTTGATCTATTTTGAGTTTTATATAATTTTTAGTAATTGAAAAATAATTTTTTTTTCAGGGTATTCTTGCTCCAGAGTCCAGACAATATTGAACGAGACAAAATGGTCTACGACGTCGTTTACCATTTTGGTTCTTCCTTGTTCTCTCACCCCGACTCGTTCACTGACTCGGTTGGTGCTTGATTCGTGCCGATGAAGTGCCGATCCGTGGCCTGCCTCTGGTCTCGAGCTCCTCCATCTCATCGAGTCACCGCCACAGCCTCTCTAACAAATCCACCGACTCTCTATACCGGTGGATCCGATGGGTCAATCATCTGGTGGAGCATCTCGTCTTCTTCCGAGTCCAATTCGGTAACTCGTCTCTCGTCTTCCGAGATTAAGCCGATTGCTATGTTGTGTGGCCATACTGCACCAATAGTGGATCTTGCCGTTTGTGATCCTACTACGGTTTCAGGGAACGGAGTTACATCAGATTGTTCGGATAATGGTAACGCGGATCCGTTTGTTAACTGTTGTGCATTGATCAGTGCTTGTTCTGATGGTGTATTGTGTGTATGGAGTAGAAGTAGTGGTCATTGTAGGCGGCGTAGAAAGTTACCTCCTTGGGTTGGAAGTCCGTCGATTTTGTGTACTTTGCCATCAGAGCCTAGATATGTATGTGTTGGGTGTTCTTATATTGATACTCAATCTGTTGATACTGTTGATGGGGCTGAGACTTTAGCAGATACTGATTTTCAGAACAGGAAACCGTCGAGGTGTACTGTGGTGGTTGTTGATACTTATACTCTTACGATTGTTCATACAGTTTTCCATGGGAATTTGTCTATTGGTTATTTGAATTTTATGGGTGTGGTGCAATTGGAGGAGCAGGAATCGTTGCTTATGGCGGATTCGTTTGGTAGGTTGCAGTTGGTTCCTGTGTCAGAGAATTCTGAGAAGGGTGAAGATGTATCTGAGTCGAGCAAAGGCTCTGTCGTGTCTAGGAACTGGTTAAATGAAGGGGAAATAGCTGTATCAGTGATAACCCGAGGGAAGCTTGTTGCTTTTTTCTCAAAGAATAGGTGTGTCTTTTGGTTGTTGAATCGCGAGGAGGCAATAGGAGAGATATCTTTTGTTGATGATTCGCTTTGTTCTGAAAATCATCCTCCAAATTTTCATTTCAAAGAAGCAATGATACTTTACTCTAGTACATCAACTATCGAAGGTGATAAAGATGATAGAATTTCCGAAACTTTTGTGCTGTGGGATGATAGTGGTTCAGCTGTGCTGTTTGTTATGTCATATATAGATGGAGATTTTACATATAAAAACCTCGGTGAGATTGTTACTTCCCCTGATAAGCGTTCCGTTAAATCAACGTTTTGTTTTGTACAGTTGAGGCAGTATCTTCTTCGCGTTGAGTCTACCTGTTGTGATGTTGAACAACCTTCTCAATGGAGGCCCCATATAACTGTCTGGTCACTATGCCTAGGAGGAATAGGTAGTGAAAAAGAACTTCAGCGCAAATTGCTTGGAGAAGGCTCCTATTTTGCTGATTGGATTTCAAGCTGTTGTTTAGATCCCACGGGCTCCATTAGTGCAGAAACTGGTATTTCCCATTTAGGAAGTCAATGTCGTACCGAAAATGGTCTACAAAGCTTTGTTAGTGACAATAGACAGTGCGTGTCATCGTCCATGGTTATTTCTGAGAACTTGTATGTCCCATATGCTGTTGTCTGTGGTTTCTTTAGTGGTGAGATAGAAATTGCAAAGTTTGATTTTCTTCATGGACTTGATTCTCCTGCTTCAAGCCCTAGATCAGACACTGATTCACTCGTCTCTAGACAGCGTCTTTTGGGACATACAGGATCTGTTCTATGCTTAGCAGCACATCGAATGTTTGGGGATGCAAATGGATGTAGTTCTTCTCATGTTTTGATCTCCGGAAGTATGGACTGTACCATCCGCATTTGGGATCTCGAAAGTGGAAATGTAATCATGATCATGCATCATCATGTTGCTCCGGTGCGCCAGATCATTCTAGCCCCAGCTCGAACAGAACGCCCATGGAGCAATTGCTTTCTATCTGTTGGGGATGATTCATGTGTTGCTCTTTCTTCTCTTGAGACTTTGCGTGTTGAAAGGATGTTTCCTGGGCACCCAAACTATCCTACAAAAGTCGTATGGGATGGTACAAGAGGCTACATTGCATGTCTTTTCCGCTCCCTTTCGAGAAAATCAGATCCAATTGATGTCTTGTACATTTGGGATGTGAAGACAGGTGCTCGGGAACGTGTCCTCAATGGGGCAGCTTCACATTCGATGTTTGATCATTTCTGTGCAGGCATTAGTGAGAAATCTTATTCTGGCACTGTGTTAAATGGAAATACGTCAGTTTCTTCTTTGCTTTTCCCAGTAGACGAAGAGAGGAAACCATTTTATTTGAAGAACTATGAGCGAGCAGCCTCTTTGTCAACATCTAAGCCAAGTGCTTCGCAGGAAAAGGCTAGAGAAGAGAGTTCTATTGCTTCGTCTTTTCTCCAAAGCATCAGATACCCTCCCATCAAATGCACTTGCCCATTCCCTGGAATATCTACTCTGATTTTCGATCTTTCGTCTTTAGCAGTTTCTTGTCAAACACATGAAGACTCTGATATGCATAAGATGCTAGAAGAGAAGAGTGATAAGCCAACTGCTCAGCAGAAGACTTCAAATGACAAGTCTCCTGTCCAGAAGACTCTAGATAACCCTGCAGAAGTTGTTCACATGGACAAGGCAATTGGGGAATATCTAATTCGATTTAGTTTATCCTTTCTGCATTTGTGGGGTATAGATTCTGAACTCGATCAAATGCTAGTAGCACATCTAAAGCTAAAAAGACCAGAGAGTTTTATTGTAACCTCCGGTTTGCAGGGGGACAAAGGGTCATTGACATTAGCATTCCCGGGTTTGAATGCAACACTTGAGGTATTCTTGATGACCTCTATTGATGTCACAACCGCACATATTTTAACAATATCCTTCTTTCTCTGAGATTTCATAAAACATTCCAGCTCTGGAAATCATCTTCGGAGTTTTCTGCGTTGAGGTCAGTGATGATGGTGTCGCTTGCTCAATGCATGATAAGTCTGTCACATTCCACTGCCACATATAGCAGGTACAGCATGTGATTCTGGACCATCTCTCTTCTTGCAAAAAAATTTATGTACATGTTTTATTCTCACATGTGTAAACGAATTTTGTTTTTTTTTCCCTTACAGCAACTTGGCTGCATTCTACACACGAAATCTGGCTGAGAAATATCCAGATCTGAAGCCACCATTACTCCAGGTGAGTTCTTTGGCTATTTGCACCAGATGTTATGTGGGTTGAGGTGACATTGTATATGATCTAAATAGACATTCTTAATTTCCTTTTATTTTATTGTAGCTTTTGGTAACTTTCTGGCAAGATAAAAGCGAACAAGTCCGTATGGCTGCTCGGTCATTATTCCACCACACTGCTTCTTTGGCAATACCTCTTCCATTATGCAGTGATCACGCATCTGAACACACAAAACTGGTGAGATCCCTGTCTGGAATCAGTCTGAACGAACCTAAAGTTCTTAGCACAGTGGAAGAACATCCCACAAACAGTGTGGACTCTGAGCATATCCATCAAGCTCAACGGCTTTCTCAGGCTGAGGAGTCAGAACTACTCTCCTGGCTTGAATCTTTTGAAATGCAAGACTGGATTTCTTGCGTTGGGGGAACAAGTCAGGACGCAATGGCGGCTCACATCATTGTTGCGGCTGCCTTATCAGTCTGGTACCCAAGTCTAGTAAAACCTGGTCTAGCCATGCTAGTCGTCCACAAATTGTTGAACCTTGTTATGGCCATGAGTGAGAAATACAGCTCGACTGCTGCGGAGCTTCTCTCAGAAGGAATGGAGACTACATGGAAAACATGGATCGGACCTGACATTCCTCGGATAGTTTCAGACATATTTTTCCAAATAGAGTGTGTCAGTTCCTCAGTCGGAGCACATCAAACTGTACCATCGTCTATAAAGGAGACTCTGGTCGAAATTCTTCTTCCAAGTTTAGCCATGGCGGATGTCCTTGGATTTCTTAGCATAATAGAGAGCCAAATATGGTCTACAGCTTCTGATTCTCCTGTTCATGTAGTATCTCTCAGAACTCTCATCAGAATAATCCGTGCTGCTCCTAGAAATCTGGTACTGCATCTTGAGAAGGTTTGTAGCATCTTCTTTTACATTCAGCGAGGGTAGTTGAGATTTGAATAAACAGAACATTTTGTCTGACATATGCCTGTATACTCGTATAGAGATTTGAGAAACAGTTGGGAAAATCTTGCAGGCAGTTAATTTTGTTCTTCAAACGATGGACCCAAGCAACACTGTCATGCGTAAAACTTGCCTGCAAACCTCAATGGCTACACTGAGAGAAGTTGTGCGTGTATTTCCAATGGTAATCCTAAACGATTCATTAACAAGGTTAGCAATCGGCGATGCTATCACAGAGATCAACAATGCATGTATTCGCATATATGACATGCAAAGGTACAAAAATGTACATGCTTTGTAATTGTGTCCCACCTTTATCTCAGTTTCTTAGTGGTTTGTGTGCTTTCCGTTGCAGTATGACAAAAATAAAGGTTTTAGATGCGAGTGGCCCTCCGGGTCTACCAAATTTTCTCAGAGCTTCGGAATCTGCAGTAACAACAGCTATCTCAGCTCTCAGCTTTTCACCTGATGGAGAGGTAAAATTTAAGTATAAAGACATTGTAGCTTCTGCACGAAACATTAAAGTCGACAAGTTCCCGATGAATAGTCTTGATAAGATCCTTAAGGATAAAATCTTTTTGAATGGCAGGGATTGGTTGCGTTTTCAGAAAACGGTTTGATGATCAGATGGTGGTCACTAGGATCGGTTTGGTGGGAGAAAATAAGCCGAAGTCTCACACCTGTTCAATGCACAAAACTGATATTTATCCATCCATGGGATGGATTTTCATCAAACTCTTCTCGAACAAGCGTGATCTCAAGTATCACAAGCGACGAACAAGAACTTCCTCTTCAGGTACCTAATTGTTTATCTCATATTCTCATTGCTCCAAAACTCAAAAAATCCCTTAATATGGCTTTAAACCGATATTTGTTCTACTCGATGTGACTGGAACAGGAAACCGCAAAGAACATAAGCCACGTAGAGCGGCTAAAGCAGCTTGTTCAGCATCTTGATCTCTCTTATCGCCTCGAATGGGCCAGTGAACGCAAAGTAGTTCTAACCAGACACAGTGTTGAGTTGGGCACTTGCCTGTTGTGACAGCCAGTGTAAGAATTCAGAAAAATCACAACCCAAGTACCTCATTTTGCTCGAGAGTTTTGTGTTGCAGCTTTCCAGTTATGAGTTTCTTAGGAACTATCCGGAGAATGAGAAGTTTTTTTGTTCGTGTGTCTGAAAACAAGAATGTTTTTTTCTCTTTGTATATGAAATTATTTATAAATATAAACCTGAGAAAGTGATTGTTATAGATAAATTATCCAATTTCCTGATAGAAGAACGACAGGGAGATTTTAGAAACGACAAAGAGTGTTTGCTTTTTCAGGGTTAGAATTGATTTCGACAACGCTTTTAAGTAATTTGTTTGTTGGTTTTATATCGTTACAATATTTAAATATTCACTTCGTGACAGAAAAAAAAACAAAAAACAAAAGAGAAAATAAAGACTGCAGTGTTGGTCAGGAGATATATGCAATAGGACTGTGGCAGCGGCAGACGCATATATCAATGTTCGTTAACTTCGTTTGGTGCAAGTAGCTGCGGTATAATATATTTAAATTACATTTTGTTGATTCAAAATATAATTATATAAATTTATAAAAATAAAAGAAGAATTAAGTGTAAAATTGTGGCAGCATTAAAGAAACGAATACAAAAATATGTGGCAGTGAGCCAGCGACAACAATATCGAAACGAATACAAAATCTGCAGCAGTGGTGGCGGTGGCGAAACGAACAACAACATTCGGTAATGTTTGTCGTTGTCGCTGCTGCCACTGCCTACGGCAACGAAACGAACAAGCTCAATAACTATGTGTATTTGTAAAAATTAAAATAGTTTTATGGAAATGAATTTTATGCATTGATATGATCATATGAAATACAATTTTGCACATAACAGTTAGTTGAAAGTCTCAATGCACTCCTTAATACAAACTCTAGAAATTTTGACTTTTACCAAAAAAAAAATGACTTTACAAATTACAATCATATTCTACACTGCTTAATTAGAATATAATTATTTCGCTAATCCATCAATATTTGCATGGGTATTAGCAACGTGGCATTTTGGATTGATACGTATAAGAAAATAGGTTGAATGATATAAATGACTTTGAAGATAGTATAAGATTTTGAAACACTTGAAGAAGTTTTTCTGAGGTATTGAATGATTCCTAATTTGACGGCATTTAAAAATGTGTTCTATTTAAGTTTTCTGATTTTATTTTATCATCAAAACATATGATAAATATGGTATAAACTTATGTCAAATTTGGCGTGTTTGGTCGACAAGGCGAATCAGGCAATTTTTCTGCATATTCTTCTTTTGAATGAAGTTTAACTTTCCACTAAAAAATATTCAGTCTCTCTACATATATATAGTCAATTAGATGTTTTGTAACGTTGGTCAGATGAAAATGAAAAAAAAAAAAAATGTAATCATAAATTAACTCTTATTCCCCAAAATATACGTTTCTCATAAGAAAAATCAACTGATTACTAATAGCAATATATTATACGATTATAACGTATTAAGCATGTAATTCTTCTGATCATGCAATAGTTAGCACAACTATTTTTTATGCCTTTTAAAAATATATATATTTATGTTCTCTAATCTGATCTAAAACTAAGATTACAAACAACAAAGTACAAATAACACTATTATAAAACTTACAAATGTCGTTATATTTGATGGGCATTATTTTATTTAGCTAACTATATTGCATAATTTTTTACAGAAATATGAATAATATGTGAGTTTAAAAACCAAAAAATGGCATTGGTAATGAAATTTAAAAATATGTTGGCCTTTAATATCATATTATGTATGTTAATTTTTTATTTTATAAAATTAGAAATTATGGCACATGGTTTCATTTTATATATATTTTGTTTCATTTTATATATCTTATTATATTAGGAGGTAAAATTGACCAAATTTATTTCTCATCTTTGATATGAATAAGGTTGAATGCTATCATTGTTCACTATGGTTGGCTTTTGTAAACGATTTATAATTAGATGATTAAAATATCCAAATTTTATAGAGAAATTGTTAAAAATGCCCCTTTTTCAATACCCCTTTTAAAAAATGTCCCCTTTGAGAGTCCATTTTTAAGTTTGCCCTCTTTTAATTTTTAATGACCATTTTACCCTTATTTGCAACAAAATTAGGTCCACAAAATACAAAATATTTTTTGGCGGGAAAAGTGATCCCGCAATTTTCCCGCCAAAACACTTGTAAAAACTTGTAAAACCTTTAAAATACCTTGTAAAATTTTCCCGTAAAAATTTTTCCCGCCAAAAATTTTTTTTTGCGGGAAAAGTGATTCCGCAATTTTTTTGGCGAATTTTTTTTGGCGGGAAAATTTTTGGTGGGAAAAATTTACAAGGTATTTTAAAGGTTTTACAGAGTATTTACAAGTGTTTTGTAAGGTTTTACAATGTATTTTAAAAAGTTTTACAAGGTACTTATAAAGTTTTATAAGGTATTTATAACTTGTAAAACCTTATAAAAAACTTGTAAAACCTTATAACTTGTAAAACCTTATAAAATAGCTTGTAAAATCTTATAATATCTTATAAATACCTTATAAATACGTTGTAAAACCTTTTAAAATACATTGTAAAACCTTATAAATACCCTGTAAAAAACATTTAAAATACCTTGTAAATTTTTCCCACCAAAAATTTTCGCGCCAAAAAAATTTGTAAAAAATTTTACAAAATCAAATTTGTAATTTTGATGTGTGCACATTCTCATGTTTTCCTTATATATTTGTGATATTTTTTATTAAAAGAAAGGTAATTTAGTCATTTTGTACATAAAAAGGGGTATTTTTAAAAATGGACAGCCAAAGGGGGCATTTTTGAAAAGGGGTATTGAAAAATGAGCATTTTTGTGAGTCTCCCAATTTTATAAGATTTAGAGACCTAATAAGTTGAGATTATTTTCCTTTCTACCACATTTTGGTGGGCCCCTTACTGAATCTACCACTTTCTCAAAATCTTTTCTAAACTACCATATTTGTGTGGTAGAGAAGACGTAGTGTGACGAAATTGCCCTTCTCTTATGTTTTGCATAGAAAACGATGGCGTCAGAAACGAGACATGATGTAATGATGGCAAATTGAAACTTGACTTTGCTTTTGAATAATCTTTATTATTTTTTTCTTAATATTTATTTGACCAACACAAAAAAAATTATGTAAGTTGAAACATATTTTGTATTTGCTATACATACCAAAGTTGTGGACAAGATTTATTAACAAAACTATGTCATCATTACAAATTAAGAAAATAGACAAGATATGTAACAAAACAGAAATATAATCAACAAGGACCACTAACATATATGATGCATGGACCAAAAAATATAATGGACAAAAAAAAACATACAATTTTGACTAGTCACATACGACCTAAGTCATCTTATCTTAATTTTGTCCATTGAAACTAAAATTTCAGCCCTTCTGTCGACGATCCTATTCCTAGAATTCATCTTTTTCCACCTATGGACAAAATTAGAGCATCATTATTAACAATTTGTCCACGAATTCAGAGATATATTCATGAAAACATCAAAATTCAAAGATCTAAGTTTTCCAATGAAAGATATCAAGATCTTACGATGTAACGAAGTGGAAGAAGACGACGAGAAGATCTTGACTTACTAATAGCGACAACGACGTTGACGAGATTTGACGGTGATATCGTAGTCAATTAAACCAGATCATGGCGGCGACGTTAAGGAGCTCCGCCGGTGACATCGTAGTCAACAGAACCACATCTCTTTTCTTCTTTTCCGTTCTTCAAGATTTGAGTTGGACATATATTGAAGAGTGTGAGAGAGAAGATGGAGGAAAAAGATAGCGATGAAGGAAGAAATAGAAGAAAATGTATTAATAAAAAAATAAAATTACTCTTTTGTTTATGTTTGTGTTTGTGTTTGTGTTTGTGTCGAGGGCAAAATGGACTTTTCCGTTTACAGAAAGTGGTATAGAAGAAGAGAAATGAGAAAAGTGGCATTTTTGCTAAGAGCATGTACTGTGTATGGTAGAAATGTTAGTTTTCTCTACTAAGTTTCCTTAATCTTCAATTTGAAAATAATAATTGCTTATCTGACTTGTTTTTATAGATTCTAGAGGTTAGTATGAGGTTTCATAATTTCGGATATCTTTAAAAAAAAAAACCAATTACTTTTCTCAAAATCTCAATGCAATTACAAATATTGTTCACCAATATGCCGTTAAATACGTGCCAACAAGATCTCAGACAATGTTTTCATTTGCCGTTAAATATGTGCCAATGTAAAATATAATAGGTTTTATATATAGTGTTGCCATTTTAAATATAAAAAATCCTTAAATCACTATGAAATGAGACATTAGCAATCCAAAATGTTTTGTTTTCCCTACTGTTAGTATATGCACTTTAATTTATAAGGTTTCTGATATCTACCAAAATGTTTTTGACATTTGGTTCCTTAAATCTTTCAAAAACGTTATATGAGAAAATAGATTTCGATTGATTATTGATAGGTAGATTAACCAACCATATGTAAATGATCTAGTCATCCTCAAAATTAGTCAAACGCTACTAGTACAATATTTAATCTTTAGAAAAAATAGAACGTCTTTATAGAAGCCAAATTCTATTTTTCAATATGTAAAGACAAGAATTAATTATAGATTTTTTGTTGGTTTTAAATGGAGTTAGCTTTTAATTAATGTGTGGTTGATAAATAAATAAAAAATATTTAGAAAGTATTTTTGAAAAACTACTTTTGAATGCTAAAAAACATATGTTAATTAACTGTGACACGTTTACTAAAAAATGATCTTTTGTAGCAAAGCATTTTGATTAAGGATTTTGCCCTTTCTTCCAATGGCATTTGTAGAGAATGCCATTTTACCTTAAAAATTTTATATTTGTCATTCTTAAGATTTAGAAACACAATTTTAGAGATTACGCTTGGGTTTATTATGTTTCAATTTTGTATAAGGTGTAGAGTTTAGGGTTTAGTATTTATTTCAAAAAAAATCTCAAATGTTAATTTTGTTAAAATGGCAAAATAATCACAATTCACAAAGCCGTTAAACAAATGGCATTTTCATAAGATCTTGGTGGAAAAAAAGTAAAATAAATAATAATCTCTAAAGACAATATTGAAATTATTGTTTGACTTTTAGACTATAAATCACGATGAATGACTGTACCAACCAATAGAGATTTACAGAAAATATATTTTTCCTGGTCAAATGAAAAAATATATTTTCAAATAAAAAAAAATGAGAT